AAAAAAAAAAAAAAAAAAAAAAAGAATCAACCTGACAACCACAGAACACCAGGCCAGGGCTCTGCACATACATACAGAACAAGAAATAAGTGGCCAACAGGCATGCAGAATGAGTCCCCTCGTAAGTCAGGTTCAAAACACAGATGAGGTGGTGCGGTGGCCTGAAACCCCTGCTACTCCTGATGCTGAGGCAGGAGGACTGTGAGTTTGAGGCCAGCCTGGGCAACTCAGCAAGACCCAGTCTCAAAATAAAAAGGGCTGAGGGCCAGGGATTTAGCTGTGTGTCTCCATGCCTGCCTGACAAGTGCAAGGTCCTGAGATAGATTTCCAGTACCAAAAATAAAAAGGAGGGGAGCTCAGCATGTAGCTCAGTGGTGGAGCGCTAACCTAGCATGTCCAGGGCCCTGGGTTCCATCCTCAGTACAGAAAGAAGGGAAGAAACCAACACCATCTTTTATTTATCCAATTCAAAAGACCAAAGAGTCTGAGGTAAAGGAGAGGGTGGCTCCCTGCAGTGCTGTGGGACTGTAACTGTCAAGAAGAGCAGTTTACTAGCAGCCAACAGAATGCGAAATGCAAGACGCCTGCCCCTGCAGCTCACCTGGGAGAGGTGTATCAGTCGGCTTGGACGCATCCATACACTTGGGCAATACGAATATGAAGGTGTTTGTGAGACTGACAAATCTGAAAACAACCTTCATGCTCACCATGGACTTGGGACTGAATGAGGGACAGTATGAGAAGTGAAAAAGAAGCAGACAGTGACCATGAAAAGGCCATGCTATGGACACTGATTTAGGCGGCTCACCTGCTCCACATGGGGCTCCTTGGCGAAGGAGATCCTGGCAATGGAGTGAGATGCAATGCACAGCTCCTGCCCATTCACCTCGCCCTCCTCTACCTCCACAATACCTGCAGGGGACAGGAGTCACTTCTGTAATCAAGCAGGCCAGGCTTGCAGCATATGCAGCCCCTCCTGAGGCAGGTGCTTCATGGTGGGTCCCGTCTGGACTTCAGCCCTCCCGCCTGTGCCCCCTCTTTGAGCTCTAAGAGGAAGGGGTAAGGTGGACAGGCACCCTGGCTTCTGTCCACTTCCATGCCCACCAATGCCCTAGGCACTGCCCCTCCCAGCTGGGCACATCCCAGGTTGCCTTGAGACCAGAGCAGCCACAGGTAGGGACACCCCGGAGGTCACCTGGACAACTTCCTGGCCCAGAGGCGCACCTGTGTTCTGTGCACTGATGAAGGCCACCTTGTTGGTGTCAGGCTTGAGGCGGATGAAGCCGCACTCCCTGTGCATGGGCTTGCGCGTGTCTGGATGGAAGGAGTTGAACCTGTGCGGAGGAGAAAAGTGAGGAGCACCTGTGGGTGCCAAGAATGTAGTGGCAGGGTTCCCCTCTGCCCTGCCCCAGCCACATTCACTGCCTTCTGGATGGACCACTGACTCCTGAACACAGGAACTGCTCTTCTTTATTTGGCAGTACAGTATGGGTACTGGGAACTGAACCCAGGCCCTTGCACATACTAGGCAAGTCTCAGGCACTGAGGTATAGGCCCAGTCCTAGCCCCTCATTTATTTCACTCTTTATTTTGAGACAGTCTTTTTTTTTTTTGGTTTTTTTTGAGACAGGGTTTCACTATATAGTGGAGACTGACCTGAAATTCACTATGTAGCCCAGGCTGGTCTTGAACTCACAGTGATCCTCCTGCCTCAGCCTCCTGAGTACTGGGATTACAGCTGTGCACCACCATGCCCGGCTTGAGACAGTCTTGCTATGTTGCTCAGACAAGCCCTGACTTTGCAACCCTCCTGCCTCAGCCTCTAGAGAAGCTGGTATTCCAGGGACACCTCAGCAAACCCTGCCAGGAACTTTTTTTTTGCTGAACATGTGATGCAACCTCTCCCTAAGGCCCTGTCAGTTCCTACACCTCACACAGACACTGTGGGGCAGCTACAGTAAAATCTCACTCTAACAGGACTGTCCTCTTTCCTAACATTTAATTTTATCTCATTTTTTAGTACTAGGGATGGAAATTTAGGGCTGTACTACTGACCTACATCTCCAGCCCCACTTACTTTTTTATTTTGAGACAAAGTCTTACTAAGTTGTCCAGTGTGGACTTGAACTTTTGATCTTCCTCCCTCAGCCTCCTGAGCAGCTGGGATTACAGGTGCGGTGGCAGGTCTTTTCTTTTTAGAGCTATATTCTGGGCTAAGGGTCCAATCAATTCATTTGCACTCAGGAGGCTGAGGCAGGAGGTTTGTGAAGACCTAGTCTGAAAAAAACAAACAAAATAAAAAGATCACATAAAGGATCTCTGATTTCTACCACCATGCTGATTTAGTCAGATTCTTTATGGTATAGGTTTTTGAGACAAGGTCTCGCTCTGTAGTTCAGAATGTCTTCAAACTCACTATGTAGCTCAGACTGGTCTTGAACTCTTAGTGATCTTTCTGCCTCAGCCTCCCAAGGGCTGGGATTATAGGTGCATTCCACCATACCCACCTTAGATGCTTCACATTTAATTGTGCCCTGGAGACTGGAAAAAGGAGCTTTGCTTTTTATACTTCTTTACTGTTTAAACTATACAAAAAAAAAAAAATCTCTCAACCACTTCCAAGCCCTGGTGGCTCTTCAGTCTCAGACCCTACGTACTATCTGTCCTCTGAGGTGTGAGGACAACTGGAGGGCCTCAGAGGGTCTGTGCTGTGACTGTGTCTACATGTCCTCCAATGCTTCATGCAGTCACAGGTGGAGCTTTTCAGAGCTGGCTGGATCTAGAGTGTGTGAAGCTAGGATTAAGGTGTGTGACTACTAAAATCAGTCCTCTGATTGGTCTGTCATACTTCTGGGTAGGAACCCTGGGTGTCAGTGCTACCTACTCCCTAGGGCAGGTAGCCTAGATAAAATGTAAGGGACAGAAAGAGGGCTACAGTGGTTACTTGTCCCTTGTGACTTGCTTGTTGCTCACTGCGTTCTGCCTGCCCTGCTTTGCCATGAACTGTTTCTCCTCTGTGATGCCACCTTGCCTTGGAACCAGCAAACTATCGACTGAAACCTCTACAAACTGTGAGCTAAATAAACCTCTCCACCTTTAACTTGGGGTTTCAGGTATTTTGTCCTAGCAATGAGCAAAGTAACCAAAGCACCTGCTTCTGAGCATGGGCACAATGTACAGCCACAGCACTCGCTGTTTGCTTAGGCCCTCAGCTAGCTGGGGTGCATCTCAAGAGAACTACGGCCTCTTCCTTTCAGGTAACACTGGGTGATGAATACAGGACACAGAACAAGGTTGGCAATGTCATGAAATACAGCCTGTGTTCTTATGCATTCACAAATGAGCCTGTAATGTGGTGACTGGTTAAACACTTTCAAAACTGTCACACCAGGGCCGGGGATTTAGCTCAGTGGTTCAGTGGCCTGCCTTGCAAGTGCAAGGACCCAAGTTCAATCCCCGGTACCAAAAAACAAACAAACAAACAAACAAACAAACAAAACTGTCACACCAGAATGTGCCATCTTTACTAACTGCGCAGGAGACAGACCGGGCTCCCTCCCCCTGCTTGGCTCCGTGTCCACCGGCCAGCTCCCTCAGACACGGGCTTTCGTGAGAACTTACGAGAAGTTGAGCATGGGCTGGCCCACATGCGAGATGTGTACCTCCTCCAGGTAATGGAAGGGCTGCAGTGTCGGAAAGGTACCGGCCCCTGGTGGGTCCGACAGCCAGGTGCCCAGCATCCAGGACAGTGGCTCCACCACAGGGTTCATCTTGGGAGGCTCTGAGGGCAGAGGACAGGTCAGTCAGTGTGGGGCCTCCTGTCCTCAGCCAGAAAAAAATCTGTTCGCTAACAGAACCTTGCCGTTTCCGGGGGAAACCACCAGGGGTCCTGGGGAGCAAGGGGGAGTTAGAGGCTCCATGTCCTTGGTAAGGGCTGAGAGTATGCCCACATCCAGCCTTGTACTGAAAGTTAGTGACAGAAGTAACAAGCAGCAGGAAGAAAATGAGTTGGGCATGGTAGCACAGACCTGTCATCCTAGCACTCTGGGAGGCTCAGGCAGGAGGTCTGCAAGTTCCAAATCAGCCTGGCCAACTAAAAGACTTAGTGAGACCCTCCCTGCCTCAAAATGAAAAATTAAGAAAAGGTCGTGCAGATGCTGGGGGTAGCTCAGTGAGGAGCCCCTTCTCTCCAGGAAGTCTTTCTCAGCTACTGTGGAAGTCCACAATGATCCAGGGATGCTGGAACTCAGAGAGAATCTCCCTGGGATGGCAGAGCAGCACAATGCGGACACTGGCGAAAGCCCCTGGTGGGGATCAAGAATAACAGATTTGGACTGCAACATGTCTGTCACCTGCAATGGGGAAAGAGTCCAGCGCTGGACAGCAATCGCTGCACACTACCAAATGGGACCAGTGATTCACAGAGAGAAGCCAAGATGTAAAGGTCAGCACACAGTGGAGATGGAGACGGTGGGATGTGGGGTGTCATGAGGTGTTGTAAAGGGATAAGGATGGCAGGGTCCAGGGAGGCACAGGGTGCAGCGGGCCTGGAGGAGAGAAGTCTGGGGTGAAGCACTGTGCAGATGGGTCTTGGTGGGGGCCTGGCCTGGCTTGGGAAGGGACAGCAGAGATCCTACTGGCAGAGGAGGGTAGCCTGGGTCAGGTGGCAGAGGTGAAGGTGGCTGAAAGGACAGGTTCTGGATCTGCTCTGCTGGCATGGTACGGACGTGGAACATGGGGGATAGAGAGTTACCCTGAGGATCGGGGTTTGGGCAGCTGAGAACACAGAGTTGCCACCACTTGACAGAAGAGCTTTGGAGTCTGTGGAAGAGTTGGGGCTCATGATGGACACCCGTTGCAGAGACTGGTGGCCCTCAGGCTGAGGCCTGATATCTGTAGGATGCACTTAGGAGCCGGCCATGGCCTTGCCTTGTAGACTTTTACCAGGGTCAGTGCTGACCAGAAATGTCCTCTATAAACCTCAGGCCTCTCATGGGCTCTGGGGCCTGTGTGTTCAGTACATGCAGGTGGCCTCGCTGGCTTCCACCCTGCACCACATCAAGCAATGCCAAATTCAGGAAGTCCTGCCCTGGGATGTCCTCACCTGCCTGGCCCTAGGGCTCAGCGGAAGGACGGGCACTGGGGCAAGCCTGGCACAGGGACTTGGTCTGTCCGTGATCCAGTCTAGGAGCTGGAGTCAGCCCTGCTGTCCGTCCCCCAGTCCTGATCTGCAACCTGGTTTGAGACACAGCTGGCCCTGCAGTGCCTCCCCAGAGGCTATGACAGTCAGGAAGCACCTGCTGCATCCACTGGCCAGGAGCAGCTCACCAATGGATGAGAGCCCTCCTCAAGCCCCAAGAGGGTACAGGGAATGCGGCCAGGTCCTGTCTGCTCAGGAACGCTGGCAACAGAGGACAGTGCCACCAGTCTGGTCACTCCTGTGCTGCCACTCTTCCCATCCTGGTAGGGTCCCCTAAGGGAACAAAGCCGGCTGGCCTAGCAGGGACCCAGCTCATCCTCTTGCCTCTGCACCCTGGCTGCCATTCACAAGGCCAGAAGGAGCAACATCCTCAGACACGGAGCCACCTCAGCAGCTGCTTCCCACCCCAGTGCCCATGCCCATCCCCTGCCTCTCAGTGGCCACTTCAGCTCCTGGGACAGGAGAGTATCTTCTGTCTCAGCCCCTGCCTCCTGAGTCATCACTCAGTGGCCCTGGTACAGGACCTGGCATGGCCCCTGAGGGGACGCCTGCCTTCCCCTCCCACTGCTCACTGGGGCGTCCTCACTGAGCCTGCTCCTCAGGCACAGGCAGATGGTGGAGACCAAGAATACAAAGAAAGAAGCCAGGCATGGTGGCGCACACTGGCAACCCAGCCTTCTGGGAGGTGGAGGCAGAAGAATTGCAAGTTTGAGCCCAGCCTGAAGATGGTGACTTATCGGCTTTGTCTCAAAATAAAAAATAGAAAAGAGCTAGGAACATAGCTCAGTGCAAAAGCCCTGGGTTCAATAGGTAGTACCCCCATAGGGGGGAAAAAAAAGACAAGACAGAGAAAGACACTGATCTTACTCTTTCTTTCTTCAAAATCTAAAAGCCAGGAATAGTAGTATTGGCCTATATTTTTAGCTACTCAGGAGGCTGAGGCAGGAGGACTGCAAGTTTGAACCAGCCTGGGCAACTCAATGAGACCCTGTCTCAAAAAATAAAAAGGCATGGGGATGTAGCTTATTGATTTTTAAAAATCTGTTTGATTTTCTGGTGATATGAGGTAAGGTAGTAATATTTATGTCTTTCAGATTTAAGGACAAAAAACAGTAATTATAAAAGCTTTCCCCTGAATGAGATTTTTTTGGGAAAATGGGTCATAGACACAGTGCGTGGCCATCACAGTACACACCCTGGCCATGGGAAGTGGGGGCCAGCAGCAAGGGAGGCAAGAAGCTCAGCCTCAGTGGTGCCCGTGGGGAGGAGGGACCATTCACAGCACAATGGGGATCAAGTGAGTGGCTTAGGGCCCTGGGACTGCCTAATACCACAGATAGAAAAGCAGCAGGCCCCTCTTGCACAGGCAGGACAGGCACACACATCCTGGACACTCAGGAAGAGACACATGTTCCTACTGCCACCACTGTTGGTAGAGAGGAAGGCGGTTTGGGCCAGCGTCAGCAGAGGGTGTGACACAGAGAGCAGATTGGCCAACACTTCACCATGCTCTTTACCTAATCATTAATCATTTCTTCACACAGGCTCTCAGTGACCCAGGCTGACCTTGAACTGACTACCCCCAGCTCAACCTTTGGGCTAACATGGCCTTTAAGAACTGAGTGGGGTATATGGAGAGTGAAGACCACTCCCTATAAATGCAAGAACTTGGGAAGGAAATGACAAGAAAACAGAAAGCGAACCATGAACTGCAGACTTTGGGAAAGAAAAAAAATTAACATGGAGCCACAATGAAATAAAGGCGAAATGGGAGGAGCATGGGATAGGACAGAAGGAACACAGCAGACAGGGTGAGGAGAGGGCATCCTCGCTGCAGGGAAGACGTCCTGCATCGCCTAAGGCGAAGCAGCCCAGCCACTGCACCACTAGTGCACTCATCAGAATGAAGATACTGCTGTGCCACTGACAGGAGGGACAGTTCCGCCCCAGGGCTCATCCAGACAGGACCGCCTGGCCACACGTGGGCAGAAGACACCAGGCCACCATGGTGGAGTGTGGCAGCTGGGATCCTGTGGTGACCACAGTTTTCTGCATTGTGCCCAGGCCGAAGACCTGAGCCATCTGGCACAGTCTCGGGACCACAAGGGAGGTTCTGCAGTGTGGCTGGCTGGCAGGTGTGCCACGTACACTATGCAAAAGAACTTCAAGTATTCTAATAATCTAAAAGTAGTTGAGCTGGGCATGGTGGTGTATGCCTGTAATCCCAGAACTTGGGAGGCTGAGGCAGAGTTCGAGACCAGCCTGGGCTACATAGTGAGTTCCAGGTCAGTCTCAACTACATAGTGAGACACTGTCTCAAAAAAAAAAGAAGTAGTTGAAATGATAATGTTTGAGATAGTACGGAGTTAAAGAACACATCATTAAAATTAGTTTCACTAGCTTCTTTTTACCTTTTTAAAGTAGCTGTTAGGAAGTTGGACATGGTGGTGCATAGCCTGTAATCCCAGCTATTTAGGAGGTGAGGCAGAAGGACTTAAGTTCAAGTCTAGCATGGACAACTTAGAAACTTAGTGAGACCATTTTAAAACACAAAAAGTAAAAAAGGGCCATGGATATCTCAGTGTGAAGGTCCTGGGTTCAATCCCTCATGCTAAAAAAAGACTACTAGGAAATGCTTACATGAAGCCCAGTTTCTGGTTGCACTGGATGGGCAATGTTCACATTTAGAAGTGGCCACACAGTCCTGTCATCTATCCAGGGCTATGCTGTAAGACAGACTCTGCCAGGAGTGCAGGGCATTGTTGCCACTCCAGGACAAGGCACACTTGCTGTGGCAAAGCTTCTGGCATTTCAAGAAAAAAAATGCCAGGAATATAAATTTGGGGATTAAAATATTTCATTTTCAAACAACATTGGCTGTGGGGTGGGAATGGTGGCAAACACCTATAATCCCAGCACTCAGGAGTCTGAGGCAGGAGGACTGCTAGGAGTTTGAGGTCAGCCTGGGAGACATAGTAAGTTCAAGCCCAGTCCAAACTACATAGTGAAATCCAGTCTAAAAGCCACAACAACAATGACAGTGCTATGTGCCACATCTCCTCAACCCTGGCTATCACAAGCCAGAGCCATTGGGGCTGGAGTCTTCACAGGCAGTGTGGTAGGACAACTCCCCAGGTGTTGGGGCCCCTGCTGCCCCTCAGCCAAGGCCAGAGCTACCCAGATCTGGCACACACTCTTGCCCCTTCTGCCAGCTGCCTCCTGACCCTCTTCCTGAGCTGTGTGTGTCAGTTTTAGGTTGTCTGAGTTTCACAGGGAATGTCCCCAGTCCCCTGAGCCCCTTGGTGGGGATGTGGTCAATGCAACAGTGCACATACAGAACCAAACAGCAGAGCCCACTGCTGATACCTGGAGAGCCCGGAGGTGGACTGGGCTGGGTAGGAGGACAGCAGTTGGTCCTGGGCAGGCACAAGGCCTCTGCCAGCCTGGGCCACAGTGCCCTCCGGGACTTGTTGGGGACCTTCCTGGAGAAAGGGACAGTCAGGGGTTTCTGCCATAGCCCTCCCTCCCTGCCAGGAACTGGATGCAACACCCCGCCACTCTGAGAAAGCACAGAACAGGAGAGAAACAGCAGGAGCCATGGTGGGGAGCTACTGCAGGGCTGGGCTCAGAGAATACCCTCTACTCTTAAAGAATGGCAGGTGGCGACAGGAGGTGACAGAGAATGGTGGCAAGGCCTAGAGGATGGCTGGCCAAAGGTGATGGGGGAAGCTGTCCCTGGAGGCTCAGAAGTCAGATGGCCCAGGCCTGCAAACCCACAGCACCTGATAGTTCCAAAGGGGGCCACTGGGACCCACAGGTCTGCAGTAGGGCCTGGCTCTGCCAGCCACCTTGGGGTATGGGTATAGGTTCACGATCTGTCCCTGCCATGCTCCGTGACATCATGTGACCAGGTCTGAGTGAGGTCTTACCCAGCGGGAGATGCGCTGGGACACCAGAGCTGGAAGTGGGAAGCATGGGCCAGGACAGAACTGCTAGGATCAGAATACAGGAGGAGGCTTTGGATGCCATGTGATGAAGGGGCAGAGGTGCCTAGAGAAGGGCAGCTGTTGGTGTGGGACACCTGGTGAGGGGCAAGTGCAGGTGCCTGGACCACAAGAGCCAAGAGTGGACAGTGGCCTCAGACCACACAGAATCATCAGGGAAGGGTGGCTTGGCCAGGGAAGCATCCATGGGAGGGGCAGGCAAGGAGGTGGCTGAGTACCAGAACCATACACCAGAACATGGAGACTGTCCTTAGGCTGAAGTTCAACAGGTCCTTCTGGAGGAGGAACTACTGATGCAGAATGGCCCCTCCTTCATACCAACCCAGAGAGTGAAAGAAGCAGGACTCAAAAGATGCTGAAGAGCAACAGGTGCTGGGAGGGGAGGGCTGCAGGGTGGCGTGCTCACCACAGCGTCCCTCCTGCTGGCAACTACGAGGAATGCGCCTCACACCAGTCCCCTAGCTCCCTGTTCTTAACAAGCCTCCATGTGGACAAGGACAGTGGACCTGGCAGTAAACATTCACTGCTTCCTCCCTCCCCTTCCAGGGCACCTCACCACGCACCACGCTGGCTCCCTGCCCATTCCTTAATCTCAAGCTGCTCCCCTCATGGGACGGTGCCAGCACCTGGCCAGGCTCCCGCCGCCCTGTTTTCTCTGAAGTGTGGGGTGCCAGTCAGGACAGCCAATAAGATGGATCATCCTGGAACAACACAGCAGGTTGCTTACAGGAGCCCAGATACATATCAAACTCGACAAATCGTATTCTTCTGTATTCTACTCTATGTAGATCAGACTTTATCAGAAAAGAATGAAATGCTAAAAATGAAAGAAAAAGTATGAGAAAGGGTCTAGCCTATTTGCAACTTTCAACCTCTGGAAATAAATCAAGATAGGCTTGTCTGTACATTTTTTTCCTAATTTCATTTTTCTTTTATTAATGTCTCAACCAGAATGCAAAATAAAAATTTAAATACTGTGCAAGAAATTTAAACTTTCATTTTTTGGCCCGAGATATTGAAAGCAGGCTTACCCATCCCTAAGTTTTCTGAACTCCAACAGCTACCCAGGAAGGTTCTTCAAGGTTGTTTTCTGCCAACTGACAGGAAATGTTTGCACCTGGCTGCCAGGGTACTGAGGGAAGTAAACACTGAATTCAGAGAGCATTCTGGGAAGTGTAGTCCAAGACAGCCCTGGATTGCACAGGGTTTCAAGCTGGAAGGAGCCTTTGGACCAAGCTGGCTTCCGGAAGGACAGGGCGGGGAGACTGAAAGTTCCCTGCAGAGTGAGAAGGGACATTTCCTCTCCTGCTACTTCCCTGACCTTAAGAGAGGAAATGGGGGCCGGGGATTTAGCTCAGTGGTTCTACCACCTGCCTCACAAGCGCAAGGTCCCAAGTTTGATCCCTGGTACCTAAAAAAAAAAAAAAAAGAGAGAGAGAGAGAAGAAACCAACTGGTTAAATGGGAAAATCACATTGGGCCAGGCACAAACTGCAGTGGTTTCTTCTGGAACTGCTTCTGGAAGCTCTGGCTGTGTTTTTCTGTTTCCTAGAGTGCCGGCGGATCCTGGCTTAAGACGAAGGGCCAGAAGCCCAGTGACAGCACTAAGGTCACTGGGACCTGCAGACAGTCCTCCCAGAGTCTCCCACCTGCGTATCACTCTGTGCTGGTGACAGCAGTGTTTCCTGAGTGACATAGGGCAAGAGTCAGAAGAGAGTCGTGGGGCAGGGAGGCATCGGGGTCCCTGCTTTTACTATGATAGCAAGGCCTCCATTCATCACCTGTGAAATAGAAAGGCATGGACACAGAAAACTCAGAAATAATAGAAGAAACAGAAAATATTTCTAAAAAGTTTTTAAAAAACGTTAAGTGTCTAAGTGATTATTTGGGCTAGGCATGGTGGTACATGCTTATTAATCCCAGCACTTGGGCAGCTGAAACAGGAGGATTGCCTCAAGTTTGATGCCAATCTGGATTATATAGTGAGTTCGAGGCCAGTTTGGACTACATAGCAAGACCCCCTCTCTCTAAAAAAAAAGGCTTTTTTGCAGATGCTATGATGATTACCTAGTTAATCCAAAATCTTAACAGAAAACAGAAACAATCACTAAGACTGATATGATGGCTAATGACCAAAGCTAGCTGCTTTCTCATTTATCAGCAACAACCAAACTAAAAGTAACAAGAGTAGGGTGGGGAGGTAGCTCAGTGGTGCTGTGCCTGCCTGGCAAGCCCAAGGTCCTAAGTTTGATGCCCAGTACCGAAAAAAGAGAAAAACAAAACAAAAGGGGAAGAATAAATAAATAAAATAACGAGGGCACTGAGCAGTGTCAACTCTGGCAGACAGAGAGCTCAGAATTCACAGTCCCATTTACAACAAGGAAAACATGGAAGGAACCAAAAACAGCAACGTTTCTTGGACCCACGGAAAAGTTAGCCCCAACTCGGCGTCACAGCTGAGCTCGCTGTTCAGGGCAGAAGCCACAGGGACTGGAGGAGGCAGGAGGTCTGAGAACCTGGATGAGACGTAGAAGGCTGAGGCCTCACAGGAAGCCAACAGGTTCTTACCATGAAGAGCCAAGAAAAAATGGCAAGTGGGGAGAGAGGTGACCATTCTGAAATGACCCGAGGTCTTTCTCTAAAGCAAAGGCTCTGTACAGTGACAGCCTCCATGGGGATTCATCTCACCTGGCAAATGAGAGATCCCCACCCAGCAGCCTAGCATTCCCATCTCATCCAAGGAGGTAGAAGAGAGTCAAAAAGTGTCTGTGATGGTCACAGCTTGGGGACCCAGCCACTGGAGTACAGCCAGCTTCTCCTCTCCCACCAGTCACCTCAACCAGGGCTCTGGCTTGGTCACAGGTCACAGGGAGGGACTCAGAGTTCCTGAGAAATTCCAAAGAGAGGGGCAGAGGGCTCTCAAGCCCAATGAGCCACAACTAGTACAGACTCAACAGCCCAGCTGCTGGCCCAGCAAGGGTGATACCTCATACTAAAGGCCCACTCACCTCCCTTTCCATTACTGATACCTCTCAGCAGAAGTTATAATTGTTAATGAACACTCCAGGAAGTCCTCCTTCTGCTCAACCCCAATAGACCTGGCTGACATCAAAAGAGAGTGCCCACACACGGCCAAACCTAAACTGACCTGTCATTAGACCTCAAGAAATCAGGAGACAGTAACAGCCAAGTTTCCTAAACAGGCCAGTTTCAATCATCGCAATGAATGAACTTTCTTCCCTTTCAATCCTCACTAAAAGAAACAAAAACAGAAACAAAACAAAACCCTAAAGTAACCTCATGTTATCCAGTTATTTTTCTAATTGTTCTTTGTACAAGAAAAGAAAAATGAAATGACTGTCTTTCTTGTCCTTGTCTCTTTTCCAGCCCTTCTCTATCTATAAAGCCACCTTGTCAGCTCAGCACTTGTTCTGTTTTATGAAGTACTGTCTAGTTCTAGATTCAAGAAACAGCCAGCTGAGGTCTATAAATTGTAATAACTCTGTCCTCAGGAACAAGATTCGAGACAGCAGGCATCAGAAGAAGCAGACATGGGTGTGGAAGGGATGTTGAATTTATTGGACAGAATTTAAAATGATAACTAATGTGCTAAGGGCTCTGATGAAGAAAGGAAAATGAGAGCAAGAGACAGACAAGAGCACCAAAAGGAAATGCTCCAGATCAAGAACTGAATTTAAGGCTCTGTGACATGGGGAGGGGGGTAAGGATCAAGGTGTGTTTTATATATATATATATATA